CCATTCCAGCTGGTGCCTCCCACTCCACAACCCACAAGATGTCCTCCTCTGTACCCGTTGAGACCACAGTGGTCAATGATGCCCGCAGTGATCTGCTGGCTGCCATACGTATGGGTAAGAGCTGTAGTGTGTATGTGTGTGTGCTTATCAAGATATGCATTTACAGATACATTTGTTTTACCTTTAAACAGAGGATTTGTTTAGAAAAATTATAAAAAAGCAATAATGCTAACACATACAGCGCCCCCATGGAACTTTTTATGTTGTCGTTTTACAGCATTGAATCAAAGAGGATTTAGTGTGGCTTATTTGACACTGTACAACAGAAAAATATTCCTCAATGTCAAAGTGAAAACCGATCTCAACAAGGTTATCTCAATTAATTACAAACTTCTAAGGGCGTTGGTACTTTTTAATGGCACAGTATTGTACTAAAAAGTTAAAAAAAAATAACATTAACTTAACTTAATTTCTACTACATCCATTATCCATTATAAATACACTTAAATTAGAAAACATAGAAAGAGAAATAGCTATAAATAAATGTTTTTGATTTACATTTTAATGGGATATTCCAGATCTAACAGGAAATGGCTTGGAGACACTAATTGGAGTAAACGTTTAGTATCTTGATTTATATTTTGTAAGCCTACATTTGCCTGTGTATCTTAGAGTATACTACCAAAGACCAAGAAAAATCATTTGGGTTATTTCTGAGGGATTAGGCAGTGCATAATCTCTCACACATAGAAACGGATCAGACAGATTTTAAACTAGTCCAGTTAAAAGCCCTTATCTAAGACACTTATTTGAAAGTAAATACTAAGGTGAAAATAACTGCTCAGTCAATTACAATTTTCCACTGCATTGCAAAATGTTTTATATGCATAAAATATATGCAGTCAAAGAGGACTGAGGGCGTATGTCTGTACAACACAGCACTTGTAATAAATGAAACATACATACTCATTTTCACTTCCGAAAAGTTAGTTCCGAGTTATATTGCACTTATACTTGTCAAGTGAAAGTGATGAAGATCAGGCAATTTTAGTTTTTAGGAATTAAACCGACATCTCTTTCTTCACAAACAACAAATTTACAGTTAGTTTGCTTGATTTTTTTTTTAAATGCCAGAGTAGCCTACAGGTGTTTTAATACACAGCTTTGTCAAAAATAACTTTATTTTTTTTTTATCAAGAAGTGAAACTCCAATGAAGGAAATAATATTAAAGTGAAGCTACTTTTCTCCTATGATTTCTACATCCTACCTAATGAGTGCACAAGTCAAAAACATGGATCTGCTCTCCATATTTTCCTGCAGGCATCCAGCTGAAGAAGGTGCAGGAGCAGCAGGAGCAGCAGGCTAAGAGGGAGCCAGTCGGAAACGACGTGGCCACCATCCTGTCACGACGCATCGCCGTGGAGTACTCCGACTCCGAGGACGACTCCGAGTTGGAAGAAAACGACTGGTCGGATTAACACACAGATGGGATAACCGCTGAAGATACACACACAATAAGAAGACACACAATCAGTCGATCTCACACTCACTTGAAGGAATGCCCACTTCATCACACCCACGGGTTATCACACACGTTGTTGCTGAAAACACACACACACACACTACTACACCTACACACAATCACATGCTGTAGGTTGATATAAGCTGAATGGTCCAAAACTGGAAATCTGGGGGTGTATTCAAGATGCATAAACACTGTAAAGAGACTAGTAATATACTGTAATGCTGACCACTCTGAAACATTAACATTCAGTTTGATGATTATATGTCAAAGCATAGTGAATACACCCCAGTGGATGTTTCTCTACCTGTTATAACACTATAGACACCGTGTGAAGGTGCTTATTTCATGTATAGTCAGAGCTTGAGAGTTATAGAATGATTAGAAGCTTTCCTCTTGAGCTAACCAATGTATTTGTCTTTTTTTAATGTTTTTACTCAAACACTTGCGTATGCCATAGATCATGAGGCAAGTTTTTAACATGTAGGTGACAATAACTGGAAGTGAAGAAGTAACGGACGAGCTCAGCGGTAGCTGCAGTGGATAGATTCAAGCCACTGAACGAGTGACTGGGAGGAGCATTTGTGATGCCGTGGTGAAGCTGGATGGGAGTTTGATTTGTAAAAAGTCTTATTGATCATAAATATGATAATTGATTGAGCCATTTGCGTCTGCAATCGCTCACTGCTGTGATGGAGGGGACGAGTGGGTAGGGGTGGGGGGGGGTCATGTATATGCTAGTGTGAGCTCTGTAACCTTTGACCCAGAGAAAAATAAAATGATGAATGAAATGAATGAAGGATCAGGGCTGGGCTGTCATGTCTCTCAACTGTTCCACTGTCGGCATAGAGACAACACATACCTGGCTCTAAGACTTCAGTTTCCATGGTAACAGTACAGCTAAGAAGGGAGTTGCCAGGGAAACAGAAGAGTGCGAAAAGGGGGGCACCGAGCCAGGGCGAGGATGAACAAATTAGTCAAGGCAGGAGTTTTATGCACAGCACATGTTTGTTTTTAATACAAAATTAACAAGATCTCTCAATTGAGTTAACTAACCAAAGCAATAAAAAGTACAACTAACACCTTGGAAAAATAGACACCACGTTCACACAAATGTTTTTACAATATCTCAGTTAAGTTAGTGCATGTTGATTATCGTTAATACGTTTCATTTTGCAGATACTTAATTTGTTGTGCCATTTTCATCCAAAAAATAAAGTGCATTTCACATTGAAAACTACGCATACGTCTACACAAGATGCTGTTACTGCAGTGTCCCCCCTATCTCCAAACCCCATCCCAAAACACACTCACATTCACAGGCCCTTGAGTGTTTTGATATTTAGCTCTAGATTAGTAACGATCAGAAACACCCCTCCTCACTTGAACAGCCAGTTATTGGCCACACGTTTTCTCAAAAACCCCAGTTGCTTTGTACATCTCTGTGTACCGTTACACTGTGAAACCATTCAGTAGATAAGCAGGTGTGTGTATACAGAGAAGTATTACATCCAACATCACAGTCTTTAGCTATTCTTGGATACAAAGCCCTTGTTCACACCTGCTCAACCATGAAAATCTCAACAATATTGTCGAGAGGAGGAAAACATTCACCAATCAGAGAAAATCTCATACCATTTTTTTTTCTTCTCAAACATCCTCCATCTGTGTAGCCCCATCTGCTCAATCGTCCATTAACCAGCCTTTGCAAACTGGTGCATATTGAAGTGAGGAAAGTGAATCCTGACAGGACAAATTCTACATTAAAAGCTGATGTGGAGAAGTGTCAGTCAAAAAAATGGTGCGACCCAACTCATCCCTTAGTTTGACTGGCTTTGGTAGCACCATGCACGGTGGTATAAAGTCCCTCCTCTTATGCATGCCTTATTTACACAAACAAATGAGTCAAGAGGAGGGAGTATCAGTTAAACAATTTGATTATTACTACATTCAGAAAAAGGCTTTACAGCGCCATTATTATCATACAACATCAGAATCTGAAAGAATTCAGGCCAGACTAAAGTGGAAAAAAATAGAACTTTTCAATGAATATAACAAAATAGACTTTTCTCCAAAGGTAAAGGAATAAGAGTTTGTGATGGTTTGTGGTGTGCCAGCCTGACCTGTTGGTGCTCATCAAATATCTACAGGGTTCAGTCTGACACTGTGCACAAGTTCACATACACAGCCTACGTTCCAATGCTCAGAAATGCTATTCTTCAGCTTTCCTTTCTCATCCCCCCTTTTATTCTAATGCTTTCCTGATCTGAGGTCAGAAAGACAAAGACTGGGGGCTTCTTCTATACCTCTATTGGGCTTACTGAGAGGGGAGGCAGCAAGGAAGGAATGAAGAAGCATTATCTTTGCAATTGGAAGTGGCCATTTTTAGCTCATAGAATCATTCAGAGGTCACTTAACGGACACCTGCCTCAACCAGACTAGATTGATTTAAAGTAGAGTAGAATATTAGTGATATAAAGGAGACAGAAAACACACAGCAGGACTAGGACCCCAGTTCATTCAGAGTCCCTTTCACTTTGGCTTGAAGCGCTGGAGCGTCCACATCCTAGTCCTATCTCCCTTCAAAAAGCTCTACAAACACGTAACGAGGCCACTTCTCTCAGAATTGACAGGAAGACTGGCAGCATTATCCTCTTAAGGTCAGGGGGTCAACGGGAATTTGTATTTCTCAGACCGCCCCACCCCCTCGACAAAAACAAGACACAAGGAGACAGATTATGGTCTGCTGAGCTGCTGGAACACAAACACACACACACACACACACCCTAACACCCACACACACACACACACACACACACACACACGGACAGACACACACATGCACACACCCAGAGGCCATGCAACTCATACCGTATGCACGAAAACACAGTCCCAGATCACACACTGACACTTGAGGTTACGACACTCAGGACAGTTCATATGCTCACAAAAGGCAGAGGCAACAACAACGACAACAACGACAACGACAACAACAACAACAAAAAAAACTTCATCCCAGTGTGAGGAAATTATCAAAGCCTGATTTTGGGTTGGAAAAAGCATTGTGGAAGAATGAGGCAGCGGTGTCACCGAGACAAATGAGTCATTTGATCCCGTCCACTTTTTCCAGCCCAGGAGTGATTACCCTACCACCCAGTCGAAGAAGTATCACTGAAGCATCACTTGAGCCTGTTCACTACAACACATCCCCACCCGAGCGGGGCCATTATGGTGCTTCAACACTACAGGAAGAAGTCATTGGTGGGTGGGGGTGGGGGGGGGGGGGGGGGGGGGGGGGGTGTGGATGTTATTGCTGTCTGAGTATTGCTTCACATCTAAAAAATAACTACCGTTCATTGGCTAGTTATTGCTGACATGATGTGTATGAATGAGGAATCAGCAGACTGCTTTTGAGACCAAACGATAGCGGATAACTAACTCAGAGCAGCTGGTGGGGGGTTGTGACTTGGGCTCCTATTAAATTACAGTAAATTGACCTCAAAGCATGATCAAAGCAGACATCTGAGCTCGTATCTGCTCTATACAGAAAAATATCAAAACATTCTGCATTTTGCAAAGAAAAATGGTGCAAATCCTGTGACCGTCCATTGATGATTGTAGCTCTTTCAGTGTAATACAGGTGAAGTACACTGCGGCACATTGTACATAAACAAAATTATTAGGGTCATGATGACATCAGGGTACCATGACACATTGCCTCCAGTGGCCTATGTGACCTACCACACTGAACTCAGCGGGAAAACAGTGGATCTGTGCTTGTTGCATGCAAATTACACTGAAGTCTAGCATGCAGATCAGATATAATGTGGTCGGTGTGAGGCTCTTTGGGAGCCGAAGAATATCAAATAGATGGAATTACATTCAGATTTTGCAGAGAGACATCCCCTGTATACTTTAGTATACACGCCATGTAAGCTTTTGTCTATAGGTTTGCTTTGATTTCATCATAGGCATGTTGATTTAATCTGCTATGGGATTCATTTAGGGGTATTATATTTCATATTCATTTTAAAATGACCTTAGGCTCTCTATCACTCTAATTCGTGGCCTTTATTCAAATAAACAGCAGTGAAATTCTAAAGCAACCTCCAGACATTCAAAAAGCAATTTCGACTCAAAAGGTGAAAGAGGAGGGATATAATGTGGTTACATAATCCGATAGGTTTATAGGCCTAGGTTTGGTGCCTCCGTACCAATAAAAGGTGGAGGAGAAGGGGTTAATGGTGGGGGTCTCCTAGGGCTTTGTCTTGAGCCTCCCAGACGCAAGCACAAATAAAACACATTCGCGCACAATCCAGAGGGAAAAGAAGACAGAAAATGGGAGAGGCGAGGAGAAGAAGAAGCGGCTTGATTTCTTTCTCGGCGCCTGTGGAGGACGCAGGGCGCGGATCAGAGAGCACCGGGTCTATTTTTAGCTCTCCGCGGCTGTTTAGCTTTCGACGCACGTTCAGAGTGCAGCAGCAGAGCGCCGGGATGCTGCTCCAGACGGGCTTCACTGTGGAAATGCCTGCGTATTCAACCGCGGACGCGCTCTCCCTTCCTCTCCTCTCTTCACCGCACACACTGCTTTGTTAATCCGCCGTGCGCTTTTACGCACGCACAGAAGCGCAAACCAATAATCTTCCCCCTCTATTTGAACAAAAACAAGCACGTGTCAACCAAAGGTCTGGTGCTGGTAACTATATGCACATTCTATATACAGCTGCTGCCTGTAACATGTGATGCACCTAGCGCTCTCTGCAGAACAGAGGAAGGGCGTGGCACGGGTTGAACAGGAGGGGGCGGGATGCCGCCCGCGCAGTGGCTGCCTTTACTGGGGAAGACAGTGAGATACTTTGCCCTATGGTGATTGCAACAAAGAAAAAAATGCCATCCTTCCAGGTGGGTTGTGGATAACTAACCAAACTGCCTCTGCCAGTGACATTTCCAGCCAGAGCTGAAGCCACAGCCCTCTGCCACTTCCCCTGCTGCTGCTCTCTGTGACACTGGACAGACCCAGTGAGGAGCAGAGCTGACCCAGGGCGCCTCTCTCTTCCCACCTGGGTCTGCTTGGTCAGACGTCACTAGGGGTCCTTGCACGCTGGGCCACCGTGGCAGGCACACAGCCACAGCACACCAGCCACAGCGCCTTCTGGATCTCCTGGTTCCTGAAGGCATAGATGACTGGGTTGATAACGGAGTTGTAGGTGGCAGGCACCAGCGTGGCGTAGGTGTAGAGTGGAGGGTAGGTGTAGTCAGCAATGAGGGAGTAGACAGTGAATGGCATCCAGCAGGCCGCAAAGGTACCCAGGATGATGGCCAGCGTTGACACGCCCTTCCGTGTTGTGACGTAGTGGGGTGTGGCAGCCAGGAAGTGGTGCTGGAGGGCGATCTGATGAGCGTGGCGCATCACAATCTTGCAGATCTGGACATAGAGTTGCAGCATGAGGCCAAAGAGCAGCAGGAAGGAGACGGACAGCACGGCGATGTTGTTCTTCGTCAGCGGCCGCACCACACTGCACGTAGCCTCTTCTGCCAGGCAGTTGACCCCTGTGACCGGCAGCAGGCCCAGACACAGGGAGAGGCCCCACAGCAGCACGAGCATGGTGTAGGTGAAGGCCGCTGTCCGCTCTGAGTTGTAGGTGAGGGCATAGTAGAGCGACAGGTAGCGGTCGATAGTGATGGCCAGCAGGCTGAAGACGGAGGCGGAGAAGGAGGCCACCACCAGGCCCACAGTCAGCAGCTGGGCCGAGTCGGAACGAAGCAAGTAGGCACAGGTGAAGTGAAGCACCAGGCCCAGGCCGGCCAGCAGGTCGGCCAGCGCCAGGCTTCCGATCAGCAGGAACATGGGGGCTCTCAGCGCCGGGTTCTGCCAGATCACCAGCACCACCAGAGCATTCTCACAGGCGATCAGAGTCCCAGATGAGCACAGCACAATGTCCCAGGGGTTGACCAGCAGGGGCAGCTGGCTGGGTGGCAGGGAGTCCTCTGGTGGAAACATCCCCAGGCTGGTGCTGTTGTCCATCGGCCCCCCGCCTCCGCTGGCCCATGCTGTGGGGTCAGGGGTAAGCCAGCTGGGGGTGACCGGTGGTTCTTCACTCATTGTGCCACCCGTCTGAAATTGGCACAAACAAACACACACACACACACACACACACACACACACACACACACACACACACACACACACACACACACACACACACACACACACACACACTGTAATGATATAGTTTGATACACAAAGTCAGTTTAAAACAAGACTGCTGGTATGCACACACTCACACAAAGACACATATAAATAAGTCTAAGAGCATTTGTGTGTGTGTGTGTTTTGTTCTTTTTAGCTTTGCAATTTAATTCAAGTGAGACATAAACAGTGGGGGCTGTTGTCCACTATCGCTACCACCCCACCTCTGTGCACCACTGAATGTGTGTTGCTTTTGAGACACCTGTGTTACTCATTCCACAACACAAAAACGGGCACAGCCAAGGTTATATTCTCAGTGTGTATGTAGGCCTGTGAACGCACATTATGCAGGAACACACACTAACCTTAACTCTGCTGTTACTAGGAATGAAAACACTGAGCTACACAAAAAAATAGTCCATTTCATTTTGGTTCTAACTATTTAAAAAAAAATAAAACTCTGCGCAGCAATAAAATGTAGTCTAAGATTTAGTTGTTCCAGACAGTTTAGGTAATGTATTTTAAACGCACTGACTAGTCTATTATAACAGAGGCCTGTACATAGGTTAGACCACACGTAAGAGCTATTAATTAATGCATGGACAAGGGAAATGCAAGAGAATAGAAAACCAAAGCACGCTGTGCAGCACATTGCAGGCCACATTTCCTGACAGCGGGTATCAATAACCCTTCACCGGCACCGGCAATAATTCACGCAGCTGTCAGAGACCAGGTGCCGCTCTCCACAGCAGAAGATACCGCACCCGTTATGGGAATAAAGCCTCTCTCTAATGCCATACATGCACCTCACACTGGTGGCCATATGGTGCTGCTTTACCCTGTGCACCTTACATCAGAAAAAAACACAGTGGCTACTCCACGTCAGCGAAAGGATGCTGGAGGAGGGAAGGAAAAAAAAATCAGGCTGCATTTTTTCCATGCATGTAAAGGATGCTCAACAATCTCGTTCTGCCGCCACCCAGCCTACCTTGACTCTGTGAGGTGAGACTTCCCGTCTAGATGGAAGAACGGCAGTCTTGTATTTCCATGTTATAGATAAGGACGGTGCAGCGCCGGGGGACAGAGACGCACCCGGGGAGGGGGATGCTGGTCCTCTCTGCCTGAAAGCGGGGATGATGGAAGAAGAAAAGAGCGCGGAGCGGCTCTGCCGTTAACGGCGCATCGCCGTGGACTGCGGCTGTGCAGGGAGCAGCGAGCGGAGCAGCGGCGGAAGAGAGGAAAAGGAGGAGGGGGTGTGTATGTGTGTGAGTGTATGTGTGGAGGGGAGGGGAGGGGAGGGGAAGGGAGGAGGGGGTCGATGATGAAGGAGGAGTCCCAAATGGGCCAGACTCCCAAAGACTGGTTGAACTCCTCTCGACAGCCAAATGTCTGGTCTCTGTTGTCCCGAGGACAGAGAGAGGTGTAAGCGTGTGTGGTGTTCAGGTTTCTGTATTTCCACGTTCCTTTAGTCGTTTATTGTTTCAGTTATACATGCACCATTTACCTGAGCCGTGGATGTCTGTTGTAACATTTGCTCTTCAACCAGTTAAGTTGCTCTTGGCTCACCTGCACTTGAGTTAAACTGCAGTGTTTTGTTAGTTTCAGTGCGGTTTTGTGCTGCCCGACTCGAGTTTCAGATATGAAGATGCTGGAGACAGGGACTCGCTTACCTCCTGCGACGCCCTGCTATTCTGGTCTTGTCTGTGCTATTAACAGCAACCCTGATGTGTGTCACCAACCTCCTCCTCCTCTCCCTCCCCTCCCCTGTCCTGTCCTCCATCTTCTCTGCCTCGTCTCTCCATCCTTGCGGCGCAGCCTCCAAGACACCTCGGCTGATTAGGAGCCAGTGGGTGAGTTGTTGATGTGCATACATCTGACCACACACTTAGCTGACCAAGCGTTAAGTCGGCTGTGTGTGTGTGCGTGGGCGTTATTCCAAAGCACCTGCCTTTGGAGTCTGAATGGATTATAAATAGCTCCTGTTGCAGTGGGAAGGCAGAGCTTCCAGATGACACCGCTACGGGGCGATGTTGAGCTCGTATGAGTCATCAGTGCGTACCTGTGGGACAGTAACGAGAGCACACCCTGCCTCAATCTTACCGGCTTTATTTCGTTTTCTTTAAAACAGAAAATGATCGCTTCACAACAGGCCTTTTCAAGCAAACCCTCACATTAAACTTGCCAACACCTACAAAACGGTATCAAAAGTGCACCATAGTGTTAATACATCTTCTCAAGGTCTAACATTTTCCAATGATAATATTATCTTCTTGTAATATTTATACAAATACCATTCTGTACACTGTAGAAATACACAACCCAGTGGGCCCCATAAGTGGGACACTCACCCCCCCACGCGCCCTCCTTTCCATCCATGATCTAAAACATGATCCACTCAGTAAATCGCAGCGCAGAATAAGAGTGAGGGGTGAAGACACCAGGCCAATATTACATCATGAATTGTTAAATAACCATTCAACCCCACACCCAAGGCAAAAACGAATACGCCACTCATACGACCAGCCAACATCTGTACAGCTCTCATTCAATGTCTTTTTTTAAAAACAATCTTGACACTGTTTTCATTCATTATCGTCTCATTGTCCCTGCAGCAGCAGCAGCGTCCAGCCAGAGTGAAGGGGATGATGGGGTGGGAAAGACACAGAGGCCGGGAGGGACAGCTGGTACATAGGCGGAACTTCCATGGCTGAGCTGCAGCGCCGAGTGCGTGAAAGCACAGGTATGAATTACAGCTGTGCGAGCAGGTAGGACACCATGCAGGCTGCTGTGGTGTGTTTATGGTCCACTCCTCCCCACAATGAGGGAACAGAGCATTGCTCCTGGTTTCTGTGGTGAAACACTCAAAATCCACATTTAGTCTCTGGACTGGTAAAAGAGGATGTAGCCTGACTCAGAGTTCTTGGAGATTTCAGAAGTGAGACCGTAGAATTCTTCTATGGCCTGTGCATCAATTTTCTACAGGAACAGACAGGTGACATACAGCAGCGTTAGAAAAGCCAATATTCTGCAAAAAGACATGCAACTAAAGTATTACAAACAAACTCACTCACCTCTACAATATCATCATCAAACAGCAACCAGAAGTCATGACTTTTCACAATGGCAATGTAGTGACCCCTGTTTGGACCACTGAAAAGAAATAAAACACTGTATTAGCTGTACAAAAGTAAATCTTAGCCAAGACAATCTCATTATCCAGACATTAAAGGCCCTATACATCCATGGCCCACCCTCACTATTTTACCTGATTAGATTCCTTGGAATGGTTGTATCACTACAGAGTTTGTCATGTTAAGATTAAAATACTGGACACTGACAGCATAACACCATTCCCATTTAATTTGGGTTTAATAACACTGAACAACTGTATTTGGTTGATGTGAGACACCCATATTTGACTTGGCATTTCTATTACTAAGTGCCAAGCTCCACCTGTTAGTTTCAGTACAGGGAGAAGTTGCACCTTTATCATCTTTTTATTTGTTTGTGAAGTTCGGTGACTTTGTGTAATACCTGCATAGCTCCACCCTTCTTCAACCTGAGCAGAGGTCTTATCAGCAGAACAAGTGGAAACACGTGTGTGGAACCTTCAATAGAATATAAATCTGTGCAGCTGCAAACTAAACATGTCACATGTTGAAAATGGAATGACTGATCACGTCAGACCAGCACTACACTGAAGCTAGTCGGGTATTGGACTCACTGAATATGACATTAAAAGGTAACAATAGATATTGCCAATACTGACAGAAATCTAATATTAAAATGTTGATGAATGTGTGTTTTCAGCTGTGGTTAATATGCACTTGATGAAGAAAAGTAATTAATGACCAAACCAATATGAAAAAAGGAAACATAACTCTATTGTGTAGGTTAAATTGGCATATTTTCTAAAACACTGGCTAAGTGTGGTTCACTGGATTTCTCAGAGGATTTGTTATTCCAACATCAAGGTATTACCCAACAACTACTAAGGTGTGACAGCCACAGCGTGAGAACAGGCACTGCTTAACATCACTATATGGTTCTCCCACACTTTCACAGGCACCTGCAGCTCTTCCCCTAACTGTTTGACTTATGTGAAACTGATCCACATATACAAAAGTTAAAAATGTAAAATTTCAGTTTAAACCTGACTAACCTGATGTTTGTCCTCATTACTGCAATTTAAGATTTTGTATTCTGTACTTTTCATGAAAAGTCATGATCAGCTTGTTTTAATAGATGGCTTTTACCGTGAAGCCTTTTTGTGATTACATCCTCAGCAACATAAACCACTTTGCAACCAGGACACCCATGAAAATATATTACATCAGCAGGTGAACTAAATGTGGGGGGGTCACTTCTTCCCAAAAGTCCGATTTATTAAATATACCACTATTGGGGTAGTTTGATTTTAATACTAATGAATACATTTTTAAAGGCTGACTGACAAGTATTAATTTCTGAGTGAGTATTGTGTATTGTGATTTTGTATTGGGATACAATCAGTATTGTGGTCTGAGTCTACTGTATCACTTGAAGCGGATATAGAAAACATACTGTATCATTTAAGCACATCATAACATAACAATAATGGAACCCTCTCACACTACAGTATATAGCCTCATACCATTGCAATCAATTCCATGATACAGCTCCCTGCTCTGAAAATAACCCTGGCGAAGCTGAAATGGGAGTTCAGCTTAACGGCAGAAGACTCAGACACTCAGACAGATAATTTACATCTGTAAGACTCCTAACTCACTCAAGTCCAGAGAAGTCTGACCTTTTAATTCATTTTCCTCACTCTATTATTCCTATCAGAGTCATGGAGGGCCGGAGTCTGTTCCAGCATGCACTATGCAAGAGATAAGGAAACACCCTGCATAAACACAGACAGACTAACTCCCACTCACTCTGGGTCAAAACTGCCGCTGAGAAAACACAGCTGAACAATGATGGATGATGGTCTGTGTTTTCTCATGTGAGATGCGACTTAGACTCTAATGTGCCTTTATTCTTGGGCCAATAGATACAAATGCATTTTATTATTAGCACAAAGACTTCTCTGCGTCTCTGGTTGCTGTGGAGACGGTTATAAGGTGTTGTATTCTGGCTGTGTGTTCACCTACACACCTCCCACAATGCACCACCACAGCGACCAGGTCGTAGAGCCTCTCAGGATTGGTGGCGTCCCCAGAGGTGTTGAAGAGGCGGAGCTCCAGGGGGAAGACAACGCGATACGACAGCTTGGTGTAGCGCTGCAGCTGCTCCATGTACTTAAAGCGCTTCAGGTGCAGAGCCAGGATCATTGGCAGCTTCTTTACACGCATCCTAAATCACAAATATTACACTGTCAGACACAGTGTCTAAACACCCAACCACAGACAGCAATGCACTGAATAAACTGAAATTCATACATAAAGAATGAACCTTGGCACTTACCTCTTGTGTGCCTCCTGCTTGCTTCTACATTCTTCACAGTAGTATTTATACTCACTGCACAGTGTCTCTGTGTTACTGAAACCTCTGAGAAGGGGAAGTAAGAGAAAACTGGTCAGTCTGAAACCCAAATCTACAAATAAATGTTGTGACTTCAAAATACTGAATTCCCTTCATGCAGGTTGGTGAAGGACACCGCAGAGTGTAATTTTCACTTTGTGTTCTTTACTAATTGTGACATACTTTTGACACAAACAGATCTTTTATCAGTCATTTACCAATGAAGGAAGCAGCCTCAAACCAACAGCTGGCAAATGAACTTCATCAGACTTGTTTAAAATAAAATGCATAAATGACAAAAAATTAAAACTATATGCTTCATCACAACCTCTATAATGTTACTATTTTGTAAGTTAGAGGCTCAAAAATATGTAAAAGCCCCAGTGATATTCACCAGTGATTCACCAGTGCCATGATGATTACATTAAATAGGGAGTTGTAACATTTAAAAAAAATGCAACTAGGCCTGCAACTAGTAGTATAAAAACTAACCATTATCTTCATTATCAATTAATTTGTAATTGTTTTCTATATTAATTGATCAATCATTAGTCTTCAAAACAAAACAAAAACAAAACTGTCCACCACAAACGTTTGTTTTGTCTGACCAATAGTCCAAACCCCAAAGAAATTCAATCTACTAAAAGAAATAAATCAAAAGAGAGCCG